ATCCCTTCATATTAACACAGCTTGCTATTTTCAGATTCAGACCAGACTTTTCTTCGAGTGTGTAGGACAGACAGGAAGTGCGTGTTTTGAGAGCCCGTCCAAAAGGACCGCTGCTTCCTGTGGAGTGAAGAAATCCCGGGTGACGCGGGCGGTGTGAGGGAAGTGTGTTCGGATTTGATCATGGAGTGGCTGATCAATAAAGCTTTATTACAGAGGAGTAATGCTTTAATCTAGCAACTTAATGCAGCTCTCCACTCGTATTGATCCCGGCTCAGAGAGACAGGAAGAGGGAGGCTGGTAATTGTTGGCAGGAAAAATGTTATCTGTGTGTGTGAGAGTGTGTGTGGTTCTGGGTTTGATGGGCCGTGCCAAATCAGAGCAATTCATCGCTGTTCACCACTACGTTTATTGCTTGCTTGACATTTAAACTGATGGAGGATGTCAGGGATCTATCAGCCTTCAGCTCGCCACTTAAATTCACGCTTTTTCCAGCCAGGCTGAATTGATCACGGGTCGCGGGTGTGAATTGGATGCGTATAAATTTCCTCTCTCGTGGGTTATACTTGACAGTGAGTGACATCTCCTTATCGCCACGGCGACAGTCGCATTGTCCCGCCTCCTCCTGTTTAAGAGACCCACAATCGTACGATCGCCATCGAGAGCTTTCGAAGAGTCGCGAGATGCTTTCTTCTCGTCCGTTTTAAGAGGTTTTAGAGTGTGAATGTGCCGCAAACCACTGATTGGCTGTTGTGGGTTTGTACACATAACGAGAAGAGAATCGTGGGTAATTTAGTGTTGGGTTTAATGCATTACTAAGTAGTAAATTACTGTAATTTAATTACTTTCCCCTTGAAAACGTAAAGTAAGGGATTACACTGTTTGTAATTTAATTACAGTTACTTCTGATGTAATTAAATCGTATTAAATACTGTATAGACTATATAAAACAATAGTGGATTTAACATCAAAACGTAGACATTACCTCAAGATTCCTTATATCTTATATTACATTTACAGCAGAAATAATGATAGCAAACCCATGAAATAAAATGCCTCTTAGCGTGACATCAGACTCGGCTAGACTATCAGACTATTGCTTTATTAGGATTGTGTATGTACAGTGTACGGCTGCTGTAATCCTTATGAAAAAATCTAATTTAATAGAATAAACATCAGGATTGGTGCTTGTGTGAGCGGCCGATCGATTGGAGAGTGTCTGTCTTCGTCTAACACAATCATGGCTGTAGATACATACATTTAATCATCAGAAAAGAGCAGCAGAGCAGCCAGGAGAAAGAAAGAAACATCAGAGTTAGCAGAAGATGGGAGAATAATGAGTGTGTTTTAATGAGCGCTGTTTGGAAACTGTGTGTGGGATTGCATTCTCTGTGTTTTGTCTGTGATTGAGCCCAGAAGGATACGATACATCAGGCCATTTCAGACGAGATGAACAAACCCTCCCTGCCATGACTGACACTTACATAGTGACTTGTTTTGAGCTGAATTGGCTCTAGAGACTCGTCTTTAGTTTTATTGCATTTAGCTCTGATTCTGATTTCATCCATTATTCTGAATAAGCTTGTTCACAGTTGCGAGTAACAGAAGCTGTTGGACTGTAAAACCCTCGGAGATCAATTGCTTTTCTAAATTCACCATTAAAGCTTAGTAACAAATCTGACATCTTTAAGACCACAGCTGCAATTGGCTATTAAAATAAATTACTCCCCTAGGGTTAGGGTTAGGTTAGGGTTAGTCAAGCCCTAACCCTAACCTAACTCCCCTTTGAAAGCTCGTCTTGGGACTCCTGTTTGGTTTTAAATGCAGAAATGCATCTTGAGTTCTTGCTATTGGACACTGACACTAAATCTGCCTAATGATGCAGGTCTTCCTCAACCTGACAACCCACCGGCTATAAGAACAGAAGAGAAAGCGCTTTTGCATTCTTTCTAATATCAGGCCAAAAGTCTTGTTTTCTTTGCTTTCCTGAAGATTCGTGACAATCGTGAGTCAGAGAGAGAAAATGTCACCCAAAGGGATGATGGGAATCGCTTTGTTATTAATAAGCTCAGAGCAAACAGCCAATCACTGTTCTGTGTTAACAAGTTCCTCATCTGTATTCAGAGCATCTCATTTTAATTAGACTACATGGAAAGGGCCTCCTGAGCTGTGTGTGCGTGTGTGCGTGCGTGCGTGCGTGCTGCATGTACTGAGAGTGTGTGCTTCCTTTCTCTGTTTCATTTAGTCTTCTGCCCTCGGTTCACATGCCACCCGCTGATCTGGGTTTCTGCTTCTGTTCTTCCCCAGAGTTTTCTCTTCTTACGTTATGTTCTCTCACCTGCCACTGGCTTTCATTCAATGTCATACTTGCATTGTTTTTGATGTTTACATGGCTTTCTAGAACAGTTGACTGTGATTGGTAAACGATGGCATTCATGTGTGTGTAATTACTGGTAAACTCTACAACGTAATTGACCAGTTCAACTGATTTTCTGCATCTGTTGCATCACTCCATGCGGTTTTATCATTGTCTAATAATTGAATGCAATTTTATAAAGTAAAATAGTTATATGCATATCTTAATATTAATAATAATGTAATATTTTAAACATTTTAATATAAAATATACACTCCTATCAGTATTTGATATTATGTTGTTTATTGATTTGGTGAGTAGTCATGTAGTAAGTGTAGTGATGTTGTGTTGGGCTTCTTTCTACTGACTAACCCAAATCTTTTTCTCCAAAAACAAAACTGACTAATATTTATATCTCTTGAAGTTGGCATGAAATGAAAATTCATGCATGTTATAGATCATACTCTGAATGATTCATTCATGCCTGTGTTTCATAAAAAAAAGGAAAAAAAAGGAAAAGCCGTGTAATGTTTAATCCAAATGCCATAACTGACACTGCTACCATTTCATTGTGACTTTAATTACACTCAAGCACAATATAGCTAAATCTAAATTCTGAGGATCGTTTATATCATCATTTTATGCCATATTGTCCAGACCTAAAACCATATATTAAACCTATATTACTAAGGCATTATTGACATATCAGTATGACTTTCTGTAAATCTACTGTGAAAAGTGCTATATAAATAAATACAAATACAAAGTAGAAAACATACTCTACACAAATATGTGGATGCAAACACTTCTAGCTAGAGAATGATTTCAGTTCTGATTTCATTGGTTACATTCGGAGATTTTTTTTTTTCCGCAATGCAATGTAACGGAACACAAAATATGCATTATACTCTCAGAGTTGCCACAGGGGGCACAGTAGCAGACATTTGCATAAACCACCTTCTAGGATCAGTTTTCTGTTATCTGAATAATAGCACATCTGGTTTAATGTTTAAAACATTTGAAACAAACTGCATGAAAATACATAGTTTCTGTGTGCTCTTGCATTGATGTGTGTGTGTGTTTCCCTGTGTAGCAACAGTTCTACACTATTGAGTTTTCTTACATCTGGTCTCTGACCCCACACGCCTCAGCTCAGGCCTGGCTGACTCTCGGGTCAAAGGTTATTTAAGGCTGGGAATAGACCCGGTTTGACTTTATTGAGAGGTTTGCTGATTTATGACTGTACACGAAGGTTACAGTTTAGTTAGAGTTAAGGTTAAGTCAAAGATGAATGTTAGGGTCAAAGCGTACTGGACATTCAGTCATAACCAACCATCTACTACATCTACATCTGCATCTCATGAGTCATGACCAACCATCAACACAGAAAAAACATTCTGCATTTCATCCCAGAGAGAAGACGGCCACATGCATTCTCCACTGCATGTGTGTTGCATGCTTTTGCACGATGCAGTGTGTGTTTGTGCAGTATTGACACTGATGAACTGTCTGGCACAGGTGAATTACTCTGTTACAGTAATTACAAGCCATCTTGGAGTACTGCACTGATGCATTATGGGGAGGCGTTATAAGAAGCCTCTCTCTCACTGATGTATGGGCTAGTTTAGAGATGCTTCAAATGTCTGCATCTGTGTGTGTATGAAGGAGCCTTTATCTGGTCCACAGGTGCCTCATTTGCTTTCACAGCACTTCCCATCTCTCTCGCGTGCTGCTTGTACCAGTTCACTCTCGCTTTTCACTTCAACCTTTTTTAATTTAAACATCAGAAAGAGAAATTTAAAACCGAACGCTGTGGTTTGTGTGGCTTTGCAGCATTTAGTCTCGTTTTTCATCTGTGTGGCTGTTCAAGCTGAGATTAAAACTGAACAAGGCATCTCTATGAATCCTGTCGTTAAAAAAGTGATGAAATTATGTCTTTTTTCAGAATTTTAAAGTTGCTATGAAACTGAAATAGAGTCAGATCTTCTCTGTATTGTGACATGCATCTAAGTAAAATAGATCATGAGAAATATTTGGGTTTATGCATCGGTTGTTGATCTGAAAATGAGATTGCAGTGGATGGTAAGAAATGTTCAGCGTTTAAGAGAACTAAATGATTGGAGAAAACCTGCAAACGTCACCAGAGAGAAGATGTTTCACAGGAAGTTCTAGACATGACATTTCGATTCAAAAATGAAAGGTGAAAAAATTCAACATGAATGACTAATTTACGAGATCTATAACATGCAATTAGATGGTTTTAATGGTTTGGGTGGCAATAAAACCTGCTGACCTGAATGATGCCTGCATAATATGTCATGGATTGTCCACAACTGACACTCAGATCTCTCAGATGCAGAAACAATCATAAAAGCCATAACAAAAATGTGGAGTGAGATGAGCTAATATTGCAAGCAATTGCGGAACAGATCTAAATAAATGAATGTGTCTGTATCATGTCATCATACTTTTATTTTGCCTCCAGGAGGGTGACAACTTCTGAGTCCCATTTTAACAATGAGCTGTATTTGTATCACTAAAATACATTTAGTTCTCTTCCTGATATGTGAACATGTTTCAGTGTTATAGTCCTGCTGAGTGTGAATCATGTCGGCTAGTGTAACCTGTCTCTCGTCTTCTCTCTCAGAACCCATGCGGACCCCCAAGAGTCTGAAGATCGCAGAGACGCAGGCACGCTTCATCGCCGTGGACTGGGAGTCGCTGGGCTACAACATCACCCGCTGCCACACCTTCAACGTCACCATCTGCTACCACTACCACAAAACCAACCAGAGCAAAGCCGACTGCCTGGAGATGGACCCCAAAGCCCCCCGACACGTGCTGGGCAACCTGCCTCCCAACACCAACGTCAGCCTGAAGATGATCCTCACCAACCCAGAGGGACGCAAAGAGAGCGACGAGACCATCATCCAGACGGAGGAGGATGGTATGAGAACCACTTCCCAACCCTACTGTCCACAACAACATAAGTTTTTTAAATAACTATTAAAGGGGTTATATGGTGCGATTTCAAGTTTTCCTTTCTCTTTGGAGTGTTACAAGCTGTTCGTGAATAGATAAGATCCCTAAATTTGCAAAGACTAAAGTCTCAAACCCAAAGAGATATTCTTTATAAAAGTTAAGACTCGTCCACGCCCTCCTAAAACGGCTCGTTCTAACACATCCCCACATGTCTACGTCACTGTGTGGGAAGATTTGCATAACACCGTCCAAATATTTACGCAAAGAAAGGACTTTTTCCTGGGAGAGTAGCCTACACTGTAAAAAAAAATCCGTAAAATTTACGGTAAAAAAAACGGCAGCTGTGGGTGCCGGAAT